GTGCTGGGCTTGGTGTTTTCGGTTAGGCTTGTTAGGTGTTTGCAAAGGGCGATGCCTTCCTTCATTCCTGGCTTGCTTCCACATCTCTGATTGTGTAGAGGTAAAAGTGGTAAATTCTTACGAGAACTTGCCATTTGGGTCACAAGGGTCCCATGCCTGATGTTGTTTGTTTTGGTGGTACGTCATTTGGCACCATCATGTGTGTACATGGGTGTATATATATGTTTAAGTACATCTTATAAGTATATACAGCAGTTGAGAGGGGCAGGTACAGCACACTGGCATTTCTCAGGGCTTTGAACAAGATACAAGGATGTTGTTATTTACTCAAATTCTGGGGGAATACCGTGCAGAATGAGCTAAAGGGCTTCTCTCCCATTGGAGCTGTGCATGCTGTGTCTGTGAGCAGGCTGTTCTCTGAGCAGCAGTTCTGGTAAAAGCCTGTGAAGGTGTCAGAGTAAAACCTCTGTGGAATGGGGTACATGGTGGAGGCAGAGCAGGGTGGTAGCAGAATCTTTTCAGGCTTGACCTGCCCATTAAAACTTCACAGGGTCTTACTGGCTGTATGGATGTCAAAGCAGCAGCCTGCTGTGGAATGATGCTGTTTGTGTGTATTTAATTTGATTAAAAAAAAGACATGAGGATGTTTTGAACAGCCTTGTTGAGCATTGCTGTTGCCCTCCTCATTAGCTACAGCAGTGACCTGGGGCTTTCTGCTTGTGCTGGAACTTGCAAAGGTATGTTTTTTTCCCCTTTTCTTTTTATCTTTTCCTTTTAAAAGCACCATTGAAGTGCCTCTGTCGTGCTTCAGTAGCAGTTGCTTCACCCTGTACTGTTGTCCACACGCTCATTGGAGGCTCCTTTGTTATTTTGACATGGAGCTAGCTGTGAGGAGTGGTCTGCAGGACCGACTTCAGTGGGGCTGTACCTCACCCAAGCTCGGTGGTGCACGGGGCCCAGCTCACAGCAGGTGTGAATGGCAAAGTGGGGTACCTCACAGCCTGTTTTGTCAAGGCTGTTCTTCTCTGAATGTAAAGAAACCATGTTGAACTCCTTGCATTTTATGAGGCTTTGAAAGCTTGACATGGACATGATGTTCCTTCCTGAGTCGTAGCTGTTGGATTTTCTCGGTGCAGTTCTTTTGTTGCTTCTGAGTGCTGGAAATGATGTGGTTCAAACATTTCAGAGTTTGCTCAAGCTACATTCTCCTGGTAATATTGCTTTTTCCCTAGAAAAAACAGGTGGGGATGTTTAATTCCTTTCTCCCTGCTTTCCTTTCTCCCCCCCCAACCTTGACACTGTCCTGCTGTTGTGGATCATTTGTGTCATGCACCAGTATAGCATATGTCCCTTGAGAACACAGCAGTCATTGCTGATTTGTCTCAAATCATTGTCATTGCAGTCTTGAATACCCACATGAAGCAGGTGGAGCTGATACAATCACTTCCAATGCACTGACAGCAGCTGGGTCAGAGCCTTTCTCACTGTTTCCTGCCAGAGGAGAAAATAAAGCACACGTGAAGGCAAAACACACAAGTTTTCCCGTTTGTCTCTCCTCCCCGGCCCCCAAGTCATGGTTTCCGCAACAAAAAAGAACTCTCAGCCAATTGGTTTCACAGAAGAGGCTGAATTTCCTAGAGTCAACGTTTCCATGTCTGAAAAAGTTTTAAAAAAATAAAACAACAACAAAAAAGAGACAGGCAGAGGCTGCATGTGGTCTGGCAGGCAGCCAGGCAAGGAGTGCTCTTTGGGGTTATTATTAGGCAGATAACTGTATCAAGAGCTTAAACATCACCCTGGGTCTGACGGCTGTGGTGCTCTGTGTGAAATGCTGATGCACGTTTCATACTTGTGAGAGAATATATTGTACTACCTGAAACCACTTCTTAAAAACATTTTTATTTTTCCTTTTCCCTTACACTAACTTGGGTGCCAGTAGAGCTCCTGGGAAATGCTTCATGGGGAGCTATTGCTGGTTTAGGCCTTGCAAATGCTTTTCCTACTAGCAGGTCTGAGTTCCTACCTCAGATAGGAAACATGCCTAGACTTTGTATGTGTCAGACTGAGGTGTCCCTGAGTGAACTGGACTGCCTTGAAGATCTTCTAACCCCTTCTCAGGACCTGTCTCAGCTAAGAGGAAGTTTTGAGGCCTATGGGTTCTGAAAGTTGTATGTGTACAGAGGGGTGCGGGGAGACCCTGTCACCCACACTGCAGTGCCCTGTAGCAGAGGGGACACATGGGGTAGTGGAGGGACAGGCTTTTGATGATCTTTGAGAATTGAGGTAGAGCACGTAACACACTGGAGGAGCAGAAGTTGATGGAGAGCTGCACAGGGCAGGATGACAGGGCAGAGCTTCTGGCTGGGAAGTTTCTTCTCAAGTACTCAAGACCAGCAGAAGAATGTCTGTTTGTAATGCTGCTAGATACCATGTATCTGTCTGTGTTCCCATCTATAGACGGTATGTGCAAGGCTATATATAAATGCTATGATGGCTGGTATTTTGGCTGATACACTCACAGTTTTGTGCCACACTGAGAGATTTAAAAATATCCCTCCGTTCCAGGAACATCTATACTGTGGCAGATGTCATCTGGTGTGGGGAGTGGCTTCTGAAAAGGGAGCACAACATTATTACTATGAGCCTTAGTAGTCTATTAGAATATTTATTGCTTCAATGCCACCATAAGACATGTGAGGTGTGTTATTTCTGCCTGTCAGAGTTTTTTCACACATGCAGGCAGGCAGCATCTGTCATTCCTCCCTGCGAGTCACTAGCTTTCATTCTCAATGAACTTTCTTTCCAGCTGGAAGGAAGGCAAAATAAAGGCATCAGAGCTGATGAGAAAGGAATTCATCAACTTTTTTTTTTTGCCTTGGAGTTGTGCTTCTGAGGGGCTGTCTTGAATTTGGGTCCTTCTTGGCCAAGACACAGTCACCTCATGCTTGCTGTTGTTTTGTTTCAAGGCGAGTCTGTCGACCTGTTGTGTCAGGCCCTGCGGAAACCTGGTATGAGTCAGAGCTGTCTCTGTTGCACGAGACAAAGAGTAGGATAGGAAACAAGTGAGAAATGACTTGCTCAAGACTTTCTTTAGGGACTAGCTCTCAAGTTCCCCAGGCCTCAATTCATCAACTGAGGACCTGGCAGCACTGCCTCATCCCTGAGACCTGTCAGAGTGTGAGCAAGTCCTATTTTTGTGTTTCCTCACAAAACTGTGGTGTTTTTGTGGTGGCTGTGAAGCACTGGCTGTGCTAGCCATGTTGTGGAAGTGCTCAGAGGGTGAATGCTGGCATCACCAGCAAACTCTGCTTGTACCTGCAGGGGTAATTCTCCATTGCTCATGCTTAGGACTGGGATTGGGTGGAGTCTTTAACTGGAAGGGCTGGAGAACGTGTTAAGGTTTGTCGCTCTATTGTAGAGAGTTTCTGGACCTGTAGAGAAAATAAGGTAGTAAAAAAAGGCAACAGAAATGCGAGAAGTCACACCTGAACCTTGACCTGGGTTTTGAGTTACCCTCAAGGTATCAGTGCTCTGTTCAAACCTTACTTTGGGAGCTGGCATGGGATGCTTGTCCTGTAACCAAAAGCAGGGGAGCCAAAACTTTCCCTTCTGTGTTGGGTGAGGATGGAGACTTTGGATGTGGGCTCATTGCCCATGTTCATTGGTGAGGGGAGAAAATGATCAGTGGAGCAGCAAAGGTGTGTAAAGTGGAATTAGAAACTTCACGTGAAGATTGGCCAAGTAGGAAGAATCCCTGTGGTGCTTATTACTTGACTGAGCCCATCAGGTATGTCATGTTCCCTGCTCAGTTTGCCTGTGGCTTGGTAGGGTGTTGTCAACACTGGCCAGACATCCTTGTCTGCCAGCTCTTTGCAGAGTTGTGGTGTTATTCAGGGAGTATTTGCTGTAGGGTGGAGGTAGCCTGGAGCTCCACAGAACTGGCCTTGTGAGTCACCATTGCCATGACACTTGTGCCTTGGCAGGTGTTGAATGGCCAGAGAGTTTCTGATTCCTGGTCAAGAGCAACCCAAGAGCAGAAGAGTATTTTGGGTTTACACCTGTTGGAGACATAAGGGGCTGTTGGGTCTGGACCAAGGTAGAACCTCAAGCTTTTTTATCACTTTAATGATGGACTGAACAATGTCAGAAGCAGAGGGATGTTTGTAGGGTGTTTGCATCCATCCCACAGTTCTGGCCCAGACCCACTCACTCACTCATGTCAGGCCAATGTACACAAATGATAATTCAACTGAGAATAAGCTTGGTACCTCCTTCTAACCTGGAGATGGAATTTCAGTGTTTTCCTGACAGGAGAGGTGTGGCAGGGACACGGCTTGGGGCTGTGTTATCCCTGCTGTAGCTGGGGAATGGGCCCTACAGCAGTGACACTGGGTCAGATCAGACAGTGTCCATCCAGCCTAGGGTCCACCTCCTCCCATGACCAGCAACAGATGCCAAGGGAAGGCTCTCATCTTCCCCACATGGCTGGCAGAGAGGGATGACTGCAGTGAGCCCTGACCTTGCTCACCGCCCTTCCACCTGTGGCCTTGCAAAAACCCCGAGCATCTGTGGTGTGGCCCGACTGGCAGATGAAACACAAAATACATAGAAAGCTTTGGTGGTGTGGGCGTGTGTTGGGAGAGCAGAGAGGAGGGGGGTGGAAAAGTATCTCCGGTGTCGCCTCACTGGGTGCCAGGAAGTGGCCCAGCACTGGGATGAAAGATGAGGAGGGTCTGGCCGCGGTGGGGTCGGGGGAGCCGGCAGCCCCGGCGTGGCGGCACATTCTGTACATTCTGCAGCCCTGCAGCATGTGGGGCCATCAGCAGCCTTCGGTTGTGCTGCCAGGCATCCAGCCCAGCTGGTATTTTGTTATCCTCATACCCGCTAAGTCTCTCTTTTTACCCTTTTATTTATCCCCCCCCTTCATTTAACTGAGGTGCACTTGTTTATCCATTGGGCTCTACAGCCTATAAACAGAATGTTTCTCTGTTTCCTTTCAGCCCAGTAACACTAAACTGCTTTGGGTGCAGATAACGCTTTTGGAACCCCTCTCCTGGATGAATGAGCCCTGTGTGGGTCATAGCCAGCTCCAGATGAGACAGCACATGCCTGTATGTATATGCATATGTATCCAATAGGGATGTGGTATGAGTTGGCCACAGTGAACAAATTCACATGTCTGTAAAGGAAGTAAGTGCATGTTTTAGGCAGGGTGGCTGAAACAAGACACCAATTTAAACCGGATCCTGAATATACAATTTGTAAAAACAAGCTATTGTATAAAACCCTAACCCTGTGAAACCTTTTGGGGGAAAAATTCTGCAGTTTATTTTGTTTAAATGTCGCTTCCTAAAGATTTTCTCACTATGCCAGAGTCCTGGATACTGAGACGATGAAGCAGAGCATGTGGAAAGGCATTGCATTAAGTAGTGCTTTTAATGTAGTGGTATTTTGAATGGGGGAAAAAAAATCAGAAAAGTACTAACACTGTATTTCAATAAGTTTTCTCCCTTCAGTGTTCAGGCTGTGAGAAAGCAATGAGGATAAAGGTCACTCTTCTGAAGCACTTTTTGATCTGGGACCTTACAATCACAAATACTAATAATAAGCAAAATGGAGTGTTGAGATATTCAGGGTCTTAGCCTTAATGTTCAAGATGTTCAGTGATTTCTACTGATTGTGATCTTGTTGTAAGCTCTGAGATATATAAAGTCTTTTATAGCCTCTGCTCCCTTAAATCTCTTAATTTCCTTTAATATTGAGTCTTCCATTTAAAATAAACTTAAGTTTCTCGGCCTTGTGGCTGTTTAGGAAAGTTTTGGAAAAAAGACTCTCTTTTCCCAAACAGGAGGCTTTAAAAACACAGATTTTTATTGGACTGGTTTTTAAGCTACCAGCTCTGGGGCTGGACTGATGACTTCTGAACGCTTGAAGATGCAAAGCAGATCTCTAAAAAAGAAGTGAACAATGTCTAGTTTTTCTTAGGTCAATGTGCCCTTAGTTCAAGGTAATTGTCAGTGAGAGCTCACGTAGTTGTAAAAGTTCTAAGCTTCTACCCACCACTTAAACCAGGTTGTCAGATCAACACGTCTCGTTTACAGAGATGTGCTCTGGATCTGTTACTGAGACGTGGTTCAGAATAGCTATTGAGGAACAAGTTGTTCTGCCACAGCTCTTCTGTGAGCACTTTGTGTGCATGCAGCTTCATTCCAAAATGAACATGCCTTTTTTTGACTAAGTTCAGGCTATTTTGGAAGGGGGAGCAAGCTAAAACATGGAGGGAAAAAAAGCTCTGTTCCTCCAGAAATAAAGTGATTTGCATGGGGCATATTTTCTGTCAGTTTTCTGAAGTTGCTACCTACCTGGGTGGATAGATCTCAAGCCATGTGACTGGCCCTGAGATTTTTGCAATTCATTTTATGGTAGCAGAGAGTCCTTTGGAGATCAGCTGTTTTCTATAAAAAGCTGGATGATGCTGATTTTAATAGGGGGGTCATGCTTGGCACATGGTCCTTTTGTATGAGCAGGCTGGGTGAGTGATGGGGCACGCCGGCACTGGTTGCATAAGGGTTTGACACAAATGAATTGGGTGATGAATCTGAAGTTCCACCTGCCATACAGATGCCATTTAAATAAAGATGTCCCCCTGATCGCAAAAGCATTTACCCATCACAAGGGCTGGCAGTGCTGGGTAATATTTAAGCTGTTTTGCTTAGCTCATGGAAAATAGGAGTAGATTTCAGTGTTGCCTTTCTGGGTGGGCAGTGTGACATTGCCAGCGGTCATGGGCCTCTTGGACAGTGAGAAACCCTCGGGGAGCTGGTGGCTGGCGGAGCAGGTGGCGCTGGAGCTGATGATCTCCAGCAGAAACCTGGGCTTGTGAAGCAGACTGTCCCTAGAGACTGCTGGGACAGTGGGGAATGTTGAGATTGTTTTGCTTTCCCACAGTGCTGTGTAACCCCTCCTGCCACCCCTTTAGTGTGGTGTTACTGAGGTGCTCTTACTTCTTTGGTAACATGTTCACATCCCCTCATCTCATGTTTCTCAGGAGAAAGTGGATCCAAATGGTGCAAGATCTGTAACTGGGCAGGTTGCCGGCTCACGTGTTGGCATTCAGATCAGAGGGATCGGTTGCATCAGTGGCAGAGCTTCCTCTTCCCTCTGCCACACCTGGGAACTGCAACAGGGCTTGTCGCTCACCTCACACAAATAGTGTGGCACCTCCAAAGTGATCCCAACCTTTTTTTTCCCTCTTTTGGAAAGAGGCAGAGCAGGACTGAAGGGGAGGGCTAAAGCTGGACCTGTTGGTGGGCACTTAAAATACTGATGTATGCTGTAGGAGAGGAAACAGTGTCTCTTTAGAAACTTCTGTGATCAGGAGGAGAGCTCCTGAAGAGGGAGGAAAACAAAAAGTATTGCGTCTGTGTGTATGAGGTGAATGTTAGAACAACACCTTCACTTCTCCCTGACAGAAGTCACTCTGGATATAAGTTGGTTCTCCTCCCTGTTGTCCCTGTATCCAAGCAGTTGCTGGTTGTCCTGGCTGTCTTTTGAAGTGGTCTCTGTGGTTAAAGCTGCTTCATGCATCAAAATCAAGAGCTGTGGGGTTTCCCTCTTTTTTATCACGTAGAGAAGTTCACCTTCCCCACTGCTCACCTTGGTGCTCTCATCTGACAGGACCAAGCAGTGTGTGGTTTGTGCTCGAGCAGGAAGATGAACTGGGCTGAAAATCATAACTATTGTCATTAACATGCCTGGAAAAGGACAAAAATTGCCTTTGTCTTGTGTAAAACATTTTCTGATGCTCCAGGAGGCTGAGGAGGGGATGAGGCACAATCTTCAACCTTTGTTGGCTTTGTGGCTGAATTTTGTTCTCAACACAAGGAACTTGTTAGATTAAAAACTTCAGTTCTAAACCTTGCACTTCTGATTTCTGTGTATTAGCCTGGAGCAGCTTTAGAAGATTTGTCTGGTGTATGTTCGTGATGCCTGAGTTGCTCTGCCCCTTGGGGCATTTAATAGCAGGAAGGACATGGTGTCAAATGTGAAAAAGCTTGGTAAAATACAAAAGAGAACAACTGTTTCTAATGCATTCAGCAATGCTGATTGACAAGAGGTAGAAAAGAGAGGATGTATAGGCTAGTCATCTGAGTAGGTAGTTTCACTGCATTATTGAAACATTTTGGTGAAGGAAATATATTTGAGTAGTGCTGCTGCATAAGAGAGTAAAGGCAGTGTTGCTTCTAACCAGAGGAGAAAGATGAACTGATTGGCTTCCTTTCTCCTCCACCCTCTTGTTAACATTTAAAGTGGAAAAAGTCATCTAGTTTGAAAAATGTCATTTGGTTAAAGAAAAAAAGCAACCAACCAAAAACTCAAAGCAAGCATTTAGTACATTGTGTAGTGGGTGGGATTGTGGTACCTGCAGAAAAACAATGCTTGAGAGCTGGAGTGGCACAGGAAGGAGTGGAGGTGAGAAATGTGCTAGGGCTGTATGTGGCACAGTCAGTGGTTCTGCTATGGAAACAATGTAAATGTTTCCTCCTCCCAAAACTGAGATGTCCTGATTCTGTCCACTGGTTATAAGTATATAAGAGAGTTATAAATATAACCCTCTTTATTATTTTAATATTTATAAATTTACTTATATTTATTATAGATGATATATATTATATAATTTATATTTATTATATTTATAAATATAAATATGACTCTCTTATATTATATATTTATATAATAATATAAATATAACCCTAGGAAATAATACAAGCTAATGTGAGCAGAAGATTAATTTGGAGTCTGAAAGAAGGGCTGTGCAAGTCTTAGAATCTTTGAATGGTTTAGAAGAAATATTAAAGACTGTCTGGTTCCAACACCCCTGTCATGGGCAGGGACACCTTCCACTGGACCAGGCTGCTCAGAGCCTGATCCACCTGGGCATAGACACTTCCAGGAGTGGTGGAAGCCTTGTCGAAGTGCTTCCAACCGTCACTGGTGGAGCAGAGGTTGTTGCTGTGCAGGGTTCTAAACTAGTTCTTGGGTGGAAAATGCTAAATGTTTTTGCGTGGGGGAAAAATTCAGAAGGATACCCTGCCTTCCATAAAACCCTCAGGCCTCTCCAGAATCTGAACTTTCAAACTTTCTATTTCTTCTTTAGTTTAAGAAAAATACTGCATTACAAAGCTCCATCCTCTTCAAAACACCACTATATTGACTAAAAATCATGTCCAAGTGTTATTTCTTGGTGGTGGGAGTTCTTCCTGAGAATAAATTGATAGTAGACCTCCAGGTGCTACCTGGAGCTCATACGCTCTCTGCTCTCCACATCATCGTGTGGTTTATTGGGAAGAGATATGTAAAGTTTCTTGAGGATTTTTTTTTTTTATGCTGGTGGATGCTGTGTAATCTGTATTTTAATGTAATTCCCTTGGTCAGTTGTGGCTCTTGTCTGTTTTTTCTGTACTTTGGGACTCTAACAGTGTACAGCCTGCCTTGTTTACCCTCCTTCTCTCAGCAGCATGACTGTGTAATTCTGTCTGGTTGATAATCTCTGGCTTCAAGCTCTTTATGCTTTCCTGCTGATTTAAGGTATCTCCTCCTCCTCCCTTCCTGATTTCCTCATTGTCTGCACCCTGCAGACATGCTCCTAAGGTCCTGGGTGTGGGTTATGAGTTCCTGAGAAAATCTGTGGGTAATAGTTAACATGTTGTAACACTGAGCTCCCCCCCCCCCACTACTCTTCCCTCCCTGGGGCGAACTGGTGACAGTTCCCTTGTGAGCTTGTCCTGCCTGTCCCAAAAAGAAGATATCCTTGATTGGGTTCTCTGTCTTCTTTTGTTTTCTTTTGGCTCCTCTTTGTGAGAGTACATAATGCACAAACTGCAAATAAGAGGTGGAATTGCAAGACAAGGAGCTGACCTGTAAGTCCCTGTTGATCTGGTTACATCCCTGCTCAGCAAGAAAACAGCTTCTTATTTAAAAGAAGATGAAAGTGAGTTATTCTGACTCAAACTGGTGCAAGGATAAAACTACTCTGTGCGAACAGATTCAGACTGGGGTCTGTTTTGAGCTTCAGAGCAAACTTGAACCCAGATATCCACGGTCAATGTGC